GAATGTGTGTGTGAATGGGTGGATGACTGGATATGTAAAGCGCTTTGGGGTCCTTAGGGACTAGTAAAGCGCTATATAAATACAGGCCATTTAGTGGCACAGGCAGCATTCGGGGGGCACAGGCATCATTGGTGGGACAGGCTGCATTGGGGGGAAAGGCATCATTGGTGGGACAGGCTGCATTGGGGGGAAAGGCATCATTGGTGGGACAGGCTGCATTGGAGGGAAAGGCATCATTGGTGGGACAGGCTGCATTGGGAAGAAAGGCATCATTGGTGGGACAGGCTGCATTGGGGGGAAAGGCATCATTGGTGGCACAGGCGGCATTGGGGGGACAGGCATCACTGGTGGCACAGGCAGAGGGTTGCACTGCAGTGGGCGGCACAATTCTTTCACTGAAAAACACCATAGAACAAAATGCATTTTGTCATCAATATCATGTCACATTTAATGTTCATGTTCAGCTAAAATTGTTATGCATAGGACACTCACAAAGCAGAAACTCCAGCAACACTTGAGGGAAGATGACCAACTTTAATAATTGACCTACGCGTTTCGGCTTGTGGCCTTCATCAGGGTCAAGCCGAAACGCATTGGTCAATTATTAAAGTTGTTCATCTTCCCTCAAGTGTTGCTGGAGTTCCTGCTTTGTGAATTCTTTCATCTTCTCCATGCACCTTGGAAGCAGGTGAAGTTGTGCCAGAAAAGTTTTTTTGCTGCGATGCATAGGACACTGCAACTTAAAATTTGACAATTTTGCCTTTGTGTGACTCAAAGTCTTGCAGTAAAGGTCTGATCACTGAACTGTTTCTTCAGTGTAACACCATATTAACATCAAACTGCAATGTGCTACTCATGGATGATAAATGAGCCAGAAAAACACTTTGAATGTCTGATTACTTTTTAAAATGCAAATTTACACTCTTACTTTCTGAATTTGAACCTTTCCACCAGTTTTCAAAGACTGGTGGAAAGAGACATTTCAATTTATCCCCTGTGGATCTGAATTAATTCAGTTCATTTCAATTCATTTTTATTTATACAGCATCAAATCACAACAACAGTCGTCTCAAGGTGTTTTATATTGTAAGGTAGACCCTACATTTACATAAATCACTACCTTATTGTGGTGGAGAGGAGTATGCGCCCTATTGATCCAAGAAGCTATGTTTTTGAGGTCAATTTGCCCTTGTAGTGTCCCAAGAAAAATTTGTTCTAGATGAAGTGTACTAAGTGGAATTCTCAAGACCCTTATTGAAGGTAAACCAATGTACCATAACATCTTGCCTGGATAGGGGTTACCAGGGCCTTAATACTGGAACTAGGCCTGGGCAAGAGGCTCATTGGTGAGCATTGGGTAGTTGGCCCCTAGGCCATGGAGCCTGGCAAGGCTCAGCCTGAATGAGTCACATGGGCCAATCCTTCCTGTGAACACACTACCAACAGGGCAGAGATGATGATGATAATACTACTACTACTACTACTACTACTACTACTACTACTACTACTAATAATAATAATAATAATAATAATAAAAATAATAATAATAATACATTTTATTTAAAAGGACCTTTCAAAACACCCAAGGACACTGTGCAGAGTAAATAAGACAAGCATAAAAACAGGAAATAAACACAATAAAAGGCAGAATTCTTGGTGGTCTGATGCCAAATTGCTGAAACTGGCTTTAGGTACATAGAATGTAAGTTCTCTGAACTAGTGTTTGAGACCAAGTGATAGCAGTTGGATATAGTATAGCACACCATAACACACACTGGGGGATCTAGAACCAGTCTCTGGAGAGGGGTTGAACTCTGTTCCACTCTGGAGCTGCCCTTGGTGAAAGGCAACAAGTAGGGGTGGGTATACTTGTTCAGCATCTATGTGCTGGAGTTTCCCAAGTGGATAAGAGGGTTGGCCTGCTCAACCTGAACCCGAACGGTGTTTTGTTGCCGGACTTCTTTCACAACCATGCTTTGTCAAAAACAAATACTATATATATATTTACATAAGTGCATGTGGCACCAGGGCACCATAAAAGCGAAGGTCGTTTTTGTAATCGTATTACCAAATCTTCGTCCACATGTTCTGGATACAAGGGTGAAGAGCAGAGCTGGAGTTGGATCAAGTGGGCATCTTTAGGGGGATTTCACTTCTCAGCTACTTTTACACTACCTTTGCTGGAGCTTGGTCCGCACTTCCATCAATAATTCAATCATTCAATCATTCTCGATGGATCTTGGATTCTGCTAGTACTGCTCATTCAGTTTTTAATTTTTATGGACAGAATTGGTCACAGAATGTCATCTTTGATTTTTGCAGATGATGTTGTTCTGTTCAGTACTTTGGGGTACGTTCACCAGGTGGGGAGAGTTGAATGGGAAATTGACAGATGTTTTAGACCCTTGTCTGCAGTAATACAGATACTGTATCGGTCTGTAGTAGTGAAGACAGAGCTTAGTATAAAGACAAAGCTTTTGATTTACTGGTCCATTTATGTCCCAGCCTTCACTTATGGTTATGACCTTTGGGTAATGACTGAAAGAATGAGATCAAAAATATAATACAACACAGTGGAAATTTGCTTTCCCGAAGGGCGACTGGGCTCAGCCTTAGAGCAGCTTGGCTAATTGGGCAAACCTCAGAGTAGAGCAGCTGGAGAGATTATATCAGATTATGTCTGGCTTGGGAATGCCATAGTGTGACCAAAGAAGAGCTGGAGGAGATGGAGGCCAGGGCATCGCTGAATCATGTTACTAGCAAAGATTGCAAAATTTAACTTTGTTTATTTAATTCACTTACCCCTGTCTAGTTCGGACTGAAGATCCCTTATCTGAACTTGTTGACTGATGATATTGTCATTACACATCCTCTTCTGTTCAGTTAGGCGTCTATTGGTGGCCTTTAGCTCATTGTTCTTCTTCTCCAGTTGTTTTTTCTCTTGAATGAGTTGTGTTTCATGTCGATACAGCTGGCTGTTTTCTTCAAGCAGTCTTTCGTTATATTGATTCAGCCGATCATTCGCTTCAGTAAGTTGTTTTTTCTCTTGAAGCAACTGGTCTCTCTCTAAGAGTACAGCTGAGATGTCATCAGGTGACAATAGGGTGATATTGCACGTTGAATTGTTTTTTGAGCCACCTGAAGTCCCATCTAGAAGAGGAATTCAATTAAATGTTTGTAATTAATTACATGTTATACATTGACTTGCTACTCAGTGTTATGGGAAACGCATTTGCATTCAGGTCGGGGCTAATTTAACACTGTTCTTTCTGAAACGTCATCCAGGACTCATAGTCTTCGAAACTAATTAAAGGGTGTTAGCTGATTGAATTTAACGAAGTCAATAAGGAAAAATAATGTAGTTAACTTGAAGATAGCATCAGATTGTGTAGCCCACTACAATCAGTCAATAGAACTCCAGTCAGTGTTTGCTGTGTTTTTATATTTAATGTGATCTAAGGGGTATGCTACAAGTGAAGCTCAACACAACCAGACTTTTTTGTGTTTCTTGTGTTTGCTGCCTTGACAAAACCTAAAGCTCCAGCCAAAGATAACGGCTATTTCTATGATGTTTATCAACTTTCTCTGCTTCTGCCGTACACTCTGTGTGCGCTCAAATAAGAACAGGTGTTTTGTAAGTGATTTGATTCTTCTTCTGCACAAAATGATTCCTTTGCTACTTGTCCAATCAGACATCAGAACGTGATAATGATGATGGGATTTAGTGCAGAGTGGTAAGATAAAAACTTTAACTGAAGTTAATTATTTTATTGCTCAGTGCTGCTGTTTATTTCTAAGATGATGGCTGCAGATTAGTGCTCTAAAACCTAACACTGGATACATTTAGACATTTTAATGTCTAAAGAATAACATTTATAACATTTATAAATATAAATAACATTTATACATGTTATTCTTCCATAGCTTAATAAAGGAGACTTTTTTAGCTGACAAACTAAGATGGGAATCACTTTTCAGCAGATTGAACTGAAATCAATTTTATTAACTTGGCATGTGCTCGTAGTGCTTCCAGCTAATTTTAGACTCAGACATGGAACATAACCTACTCCCAGTCAGGTTATGTGTTTTAAGCAGGTTTCCACAGTAATTTAGTCAAGTAAAAAGAAAGTGACCCTAATGATACAGAAAACTCCTACTTTAAACACAACATCGCTCGTTAAGCCATCAATCTGGGTTTGTAGTACATTTCTGTGGAAGGTGTGGGCTGATACGCACCAGCTTGGAGCCAGATATAAACATTAACAGCAGACTGGATGATGCACAGCAGACCAAAGCTGATTCCAACCAACTTTAAGATTATTGCTCCTCCTACGGGTAGGCAAAAACACACATATACAATCCAACAAGATTCTGTTATTAGCATTATAAAAAAAAGAGTAAATGTTACTTTTCAATATTTTTTTTGAAGTTATTAAATCAAATTATGCAATCCATGTCTTACCTGCACAATTTATTCATTCATTTTTTTTAAAAACTGTGTGCCTTTTAAGTCCTGTGGTGATTCTTTACTTGTTAAGGCCTGGGCAACATTTAGCTATTTAGCATTATATTTGATCATAATTTTATGGTCTACTGTCTTCCTTTTTTTGTTCATCTTTTTCTTCTTGGGTTTTCACTTCCAGGAGGACATCGCCCTTTCATTTTTGTTAAATAGATTTATAGTTGTTTATTGTCTTCCTTCCCTCAACCAGTCACAACAGATGGCCGCCACTCCCTGAGCCTGGTTCCTTCCTGTTAAAAAAAGATTTTTTTCTTCCCACTGTCGCCAAAGTGCTTGCTCATAAGGGGTCATATGCAGAGGTCTCGCACTCCAGGCCTCAAGGGCCGGTGTCCTGCAGGTTTTAGATATCACCCTGGGTTGACACACCTGAATCAAATGATTAGTTCATTGCCTCTGGAGAAGGTAATTTAGCCATTTAAATCAGCTGTGTTAGATCAAGGACATATCTAAAACCTGCTGGACACCAGCCCTTGAGGCCTGGAGTTCCCCCACCCCTGATCTAAATGTTTTATGACTGTACTCACCAAAAAAGAAAAAGAGCCTCAGGTAAAATGAAGTTTTTCCAAAAGAAATTACATTCTCAAAGACTCAGAAAAAGTCAAAGACTTCTACTTCCTCAAAACATTATGATTATTATTACTACCCTTAATTCATTTTTCTGCACTACAAATTTAACTTAAAAAAAAAGAAAAAACACGCTGCACAAAATACGCTGGTGGAATAAATATTTCACTGGCTGGGTTTGGAAAAACACAAACCAGAACTTTTTAGTGGCATTTGGAATTTAAGAAATCCTAAATGTATTACAAGCATATAGAAAATCTATGCACTTCAAATAAGCACAGACACACATTTAGTACATTTAGTAAACTACATAGTTATTTTTGTCTTTTAGAGATGGAGCAAGACAAAAGAAGCTTGTAAAGAATGATTATAAACTGCTTATTTGAAGTAAAATGTAACTTCTATAAATTACAGCAATGACAGAAATGGTTGACATAAACAAAACAAAACAAAGTTTAATTATTAAAGATTTAGACCTGACTGATTGTCTCTGGTCCTCGCTCTCCTACCAACAGATGAATTGACATAGTGCCGTAGTTCCATTCTTCTTTATTGACAGTCTTGAACCGATGTTCAGCGAATGTGTTCTGGCTTGTAAATTGGGACTGTAATAGTTTCTAAAGTAGTTAGTTCCTTGATTTGTTCAAAGGGGAGGGTAAATTCATCATTTCCTTTCGTGGCCAAGTGATTTGAGACTAAAATTAACAATGAGTAAATGTGACATCATCACTTGCTTTTCATTTTGCTTTGACTTTTTCAGAGGGGCAACTTATTGTTTTAGCTTGTTTTGTATTGCTTAAAAAATGTTAAAATTTACCAAAGTGAAAGCTTTGAAAACAATGTTCCGTCATAACATTTACTCTACCATCATCGGTAGCACGTGAAAGAACCTTACACAACCACAACAACCTGGCACCTCCTCCTTATGCTGGTCACCAGTTTGGTCCCATACTGCTGTGAGATGGTATCCAATTCTTCAACCAGCATTAAGCGCAAGTCTGCCAGTATAGCTATGTTGGTCGCTCTTGCACAAAAGTCAAGCACAAGCTGATCCCACAAGTTAGCACGGGACTAAATGCAGTATTTTTTTACTCCCAAATTCTGGAGGTAGTCAGTGGTAAATCCTGCTTTGTTGGGGCAATGTTGCCATTTTGGAGGATAGAGTTTCTCTGGTTGAGGAAATGCCATATCCCATCTCAGTATTTCTGTGGATTGAGATCCAGTGATGACAAGCCTTGTTTTTGGTGGAGATGAGAAAAGCTGTTACCCTATCGGTATAGCAGTCAGCATAGTGCTCTCCGTGTCTTTTCCACGTTTTAAACCTGCGATCCAACTGCCATAGGCCGTATCTGGACTCATCGCTCAACACAACATTGATCAACATGTTCAGGTTTCAGTGCACATGTTGCCGACACCAGCGCAAATGAGCATGATGGTGTAGGGCAGTCATTGCAGGCCTCCTGGCAGCCACGTGAGACCAGAGACTGGCTGTGTGCACTCTGTTCTGGATTGTCTGGGTAGAAAGCTCAAAAATGCTCCCAATTTTCATCTGATAGTAAGTTGTTCTTGACAGCATTGTAGATATTTATTTAGCTATACAAGTAATGATATTTTCTAATTCTTCAGCCATGAATAAATGAAGAAAAAGGGAAGACGTCATTTAAATTGCAGTAAGCTGCAGGAGGCTGTCAGCATAAACAAAACACAAAGCAGTATGTTTTCATGTGGTAAAAGTAGTGGAAGCAGATTTCTGTGTCAATGCGTGTGTGTGTGTGTGTGTGTCCTGCGGGTTTTAGATATCACCCTGGGTTGACACACCTGAATCAAATGAATAGTTCATTGCCTCTGGAGAAATTCAAGACATGTGGAGGTAATTTAGCCATTTAAATCAGCTGTGTTAGATCAAGGACATATCAGGAAGAAAACATAGAAAGAACAGATGCTCCTTTTGGATTAAAACTGTTTCTGAAAACATGAAAAACACATTTTACTAAACTGTTCATATAATTTTCTTAACATCCAACCTTTTGCTGTGTGATGTGGAACATGAGGGTAAATACTCACTTCCTCTAATACAGTTTAGGCCCTCTTTAAATCTGTCTCTCACATCTGACCAAAAATATTGGAAGTAAAAGAGTAATAATAGAAAGTAGCAAAATTATCATTAATTGTGACATGTAAGACAACATGGATAACATGTAAGGTGTTTTAAAGTATAATTTCAACATAGAACAGAATATTTACTTTTTCAAATCAGTGTTTGTTTATTCATCACTCAAATTATGATGTAAAATGAGTAACAGAAGCAAGACTATAATATGCATATATTTCAAGCCCCAAACCAAAGTTGTTACAGTTATGACGTTATATGTCATCTGAAGTAACCTAATCCATACTTAGTATTTTAAAACTGCAAAACTAGTATTTACTAACATGAACTGAGGTGAATTGCCACAGTGGTTTTCCGACTGTCGCCTAAAATTATTTAAATGCAAACAGCCCCATCTAGGGAGCACATGTGCTCAGTACAACTATTAACTTGCACAAAGCCGTACAAATAGGTTTGTTTCTTTATAATGTATAATACCTCTGTGTTGATGAGCAATTCATTTTTCCAAGAAGTCTTGTGGAGGACTGATTGAGATTAATTGTGTCTTTATTTTTTATAGATTATTAGGTAATAGTTTTTTTGTTGTTTGGCCCAACCCTGCTTGAGTTTAGATTGGGAGACATGTGGCCATAAAATAAAATTAATCTTAACAGGCCTTCAATTCAAAAAGTAAACATTTTTTACTGATTGAATAATTACTTAGAAACCTGCAGACATGAGTATAAAACAATGTGCGGGGGCAGTTGTATACACGATAATTGGTGCCCGATATCAGTCACCTCTTAGTTCAGTGCCTCCCACTCCCCACCAGTTTTAACCAGTTAAATAGATACACAGTCTCATATAAAACCATGTGAACTGTTAGTAGAGGTTAGTCTCTTCTGGGAAGTTGGCTGCTAACCATACATAGTGATTTCATTTCAGGCTAACATATTATTTGGGACACAATGATATGCCTAGAGTTATATTACTGGAGCTTGCTGGAGGCAACTCTGTACAGTCCACAGCCACCATGGTGATTCACAGATAATGTGGGAAGGTTTGGATCTTGGGCTGTTACTTCATGCTTCCACATTGTCATCACTAAGCTCATTAGTTACTTATTGCCTAAATAAGATAAGCCAGGTTTTATTCTTGCTGTCACACTAATATCAGAGCCATGACTATGGTGGTTTAAATAATGTGACTCAAATGGTTTTTCATAATGATGCCATGTTATATTCAAACAGTAACTGAGAACCAACTTTTCTGAGTTGTTTTAGGCAATTTTCACTTTAAAATATGTGTAACTGCCTGATGAAACTAATAGGAAATAAAAAGTGTCTGAATCATTATGAGCTAGCCCACATATTGGTAAAAGTACATGGATGCTGATTTTCTGGTAGCAGCAGAATCCTTTATCTTGGCTTTGCTAAAGCATATAGTTAGGGCTGGACCAGGTGACCTGGACCAGGTGACCCTGAATCCTCCCTTAGTTATGCTGCAATAGACATAGGCTGCCGGGGGATTCCCATGATGCATTGAGTTTTTCCTTTCCAGTCACCTTTCTCACTCACTATGTATTAATAGACCTCTCTCCATTAAATCATATCTGTTATTAACCTCTGTCTCTCTTCAGCATGTCTTTTATCCTGTCTTCCTTCTCTCACCCCAACCGGTCGCAGCAGATGGCCGCCCCTCCCTGAGCCTGGTTCTGCCGGAGGTTTCTTCCTGTTAAAAGGGAGTTTTTCCTTCCCACTGTTGCCAAAGTGCTTGCTCATAGGGGGTCATATGATTGTTGGGTTTTTTTCTCTGTATCTATGAAGCGCCTTGAGGCGACTTATGTTGTGATTTGGCGCTATATAAATAAAATTGAATTGAATTGAATTGAATTACCCTCTGTGGATACTGGACTGTTGTATGCAGTGGATCTGGAAAAGGTATACAGGTAGCTCTTTATTTTCACTGTTACAAGAACAATGAAAGGCAGTTTGGCATCTCTCCATGTGTGTGAAATACACAATAGCGTAAGTATTTAAACAATAACACAAACAAATGTACATTTACACAAGAAAGATATGTGCAAGTTATACACACACACACACACACGTACATACGGATACACCCAGTATTCTTCTATACAGTATTCTTCACTAAGATTTATGTACATCTACTTCTACTAAAAATGAGATCTACTAGCTCGAATATTCTGACTGGCTTGGCCATCAAAGAATATCTCATTTCTTTGCTTTGAGAAACACTTGGGCTTGTTACGACCCGGCTCAAAGCCGCAACATAAAAAAGGAGACGAATACCAGAGTATGGGTGAGAAGAGGGTTTTATCTTAAAATGGAAAACCAGGTTGGCTAAAATGGCTAATGCCACCAAGGCAAAGACAAGTGAGCTCCCTGGGAAGCTTGCCTCAGGTAACAATTAGTCACAATTAAGATGGTGCAGGGACTTGCCCCTGACAACACAGACAGGGGCAAGACAGTCTGAATTTTAACTGTAGTGCTCAGTAAAAGTGAAAGCTGCATTCAAGGCAACAAAAAAGTGTTTTTTCAACAGAGTGCAAAGAGAGGCAGTAGGTTTGTGGTGGTCAGAAGGAATGCAGATAGTCACACATAGCTGAGCACAGAGTTGCATATCCTCCACCCACGCATCTGCAAACACACTCACACATTGCAGCCAGTGGTGTTCATGCATCTTATGTGAAACCTATAACCTAGTCTGCCATTTGTGCTGTGGTCCTCGTGTTCATCTTTGGTGATTCCTGCTGTTGTATCTTATCTACAATGTCATGGTTTACTGGCTTTGCAGTGGTGCTGTTGATGACTTTTCCGCTGTTGTTTGCTCAGGAGACAGGTTAGTAAACAATTTTTAATTTTTTTTCTCTAAATTTTATTTTCTTGATAACGGATGGTGTCATCGCCAGAAAATCTATCTCAATAAAACCATACATGATACGTCATTTCTAATTATACTCCTACATTAAGCTAAGAAAATCATCTAAATATAAAAATATGTATGTAGAAATATCCGTGGCAGTATAACCTTGTTACAATCAAATGTGTGTTAATAACAGCTTGTAGTCTGACCATTAACCGTACACGAAAGTGAGGCTTAAAGGTTTTGGGAATAATAGAAAATGTTACAGTATGTGAAATATTTATTCTAATCTTTTCACTGACTTAATACCAAAGAAGCATCACTCATAAACATAAAGCCTGAGGGTATCACTGCTTACAACATAATATTGACCTTCAGTATTTGACATCATCGATACATTTATACTAACCTTTTGTTTTTACACTGGATTTAAAAAGTGACCAGAACAAAGCGAGGAGTAACACCCCCCAAAAAACTCAGTGTCAATATGATATAATAGGCATTAAGGGGTTACAGAATGCAATGCACAGGTCAAATCTCCTTTTTTCACGTAATTAAAAGCAGTATCTTATCCATCAACCTCTTTTGACCAAGTTGACTTTAGTTTACACAAC